AGCCTCATCTTCTGGGAGAAACAAAAATGATCTATATTGCCTTCCAGGAGTCCTTCTGAATGGAGGTTGTGTAGTGGAAACTGATTCACGGAACACTTCAATTTCAACCAAAATAAATTTTAGTTTCTCCTGTGACTGCTAAATGAATAAGATTCAAAACAGCACAAGCCTCTCCACTTAACAACACAGAGTTGTGATAAGGAATAACACATAAAGTATTGCTATTTCTCTCCCATTATAGCATATTGTAACTTGCAACTGCCATTTCATTTTGATTTTAATCCCTTGTCCCTCCAATCTGAAAGGAAGACAGCTGGATATTTTCTTCGACTCATTCAGAGTGTTAAATCCAAAAGAATGCATACGCTCGCCTCTTATCCAACTTAAAATTAGTTTTCCTGTTGACAACCATGATAGCTACAAACTAGGTCAGAAATCACATGACACCAGGTTGTAGTCCAACAGGTTGATTTGAAGACACAAGCTTTTGAAGTCTCGCTCCTTCTTCAGGTGTCAGTAAGACTCCGTAAGCTTGTGTCTTCAAATCAACCTGTTGGACTATAACCTGGTGTCGTGTGATTTTTGATCTTGTCCACCCCAGTCCAACCTCCATATCATAGCTGCAGACTACAGTTCTCTACTGCTCTGACATTTACAGACCAGTCTGATCTGTTCCTAACTATTGGTGCTGTTGATCCAGCTGTGAAAAGATTTCTCCCTTTGCACTCCTGATTGTTTGTTGGAATGAAACTGTTAATGGGAGGAATCCTGCTGAAAATGTATAGATGCTAATCAGATCAGATCCAATTGGCCAACAGTTAAATATGTCTGACTAATTAGGCTTAATTATCCTAAATTAGTCTCTTGCTTTCAACTTCAACTTTTTTTGCATAAAACTGTTAGATTTATTAAATTGTGTCAGATGTGAGTCTCAAATTCTTAAATTCTCAATTGTTCAGACATTACTCTCTCAAGAATCCTTGCACCCTCCCTAAAGTGTGGTGACCAAAATTGGACGCAATACTCTATTGTGACCTACCGAGAGATTTATACCTTTGAGTATAATTTCCCTGTTTTTGTTCTCAAAATTTCTTTTAACAAATCCAAAAGCCCACTTTGCTAACTTTTCTCTCAATATAACCTGACTTCTTCAAAGATCTATACAAATAAATCCTGGGCGCTCTGTCCTGATAAACTTTTACGAACTGCATCAGTAAGTCTGTATAGCCTCTTCTTCACACTTACCTGGATGAAATTCCATGTGGCACTTGCCTGCCTATTCTGTGAGCCTTTCTATATTTTGCTGGAGTCAATTGTTACCATTATCATTCCTCCCAGGTGGTTTCATTAGTAAATTTTAAACTTTTGCTTTTTATTCCAATATGCAACTCATTTATGTATATATACTAGAAAAAAACAGTGGATCTATCACTGACAATTGAGTGACATTAATGTTTGCCATCCTTGTCTGAAAAATAACCACTTCCCATTATTTACTGTCTGTCTTCAGACCAATTTCTTTTCTATATCTGAGATGACACTCATGCTCCTACACAATGCACATCAATTTTATGAACCAGCCTTTTATGTGGTACTTTGTCAAAGGTATTCTTAAAACCCATAAGGAAAGCATCTATTAATTCATCCTTCAGGCTTCTCTGCTCCTTATTCAAAAAATTCAATTAGATTATTCAAACATGTGTTCTCTCTGAAAGGTGAGCATGAAAACTGGATTTCAAATCATTTTTTTCAGGCTCTGCTCTCTACTCCCTAACCCAATTCTCAATTTACAGTCCACAACAACACAGCCCTATTTAATAGGAGGAAACAGAAATATTAAAAGTTTAAACTTAAAACTGGAAAATACTTTTAAACCTTTAACCATTTCCATGTTAATGATGTTTCTTAATCATATATAGTTGAACATGTGGTCAACAGTAGCACAAACCCATGCCTCACCAACTCTCACCCCGCCAAACATTATTTAAAGGAATTATGAACTAAATAGAGGTTTGTTGTAGATTGATTTTTTTCAGGCTGTTGATACTTTTTATATAGTTATTTAAAATTGCAAAAGTCTACAGGGAGTGGTGATGTAGCAACAAAGGTTTTCATGCTGCAAAATTTCTACATGAACAAGATATGTGTGCACTAATGGGCATTCTCTTTAGAATACGGCGTTACTTGTTAATTGTATGGTGGTGGGTACTAACTCAGGATTTACTTGTATTCCTCCACATAGGAACATTGGAGAAGTGGTAGACAAAAAGGAGGCTGGAAGAACACAGCAAGCCAGGCAGCATTTGGAGGAAAGGAGAAGTCAACGTTTTGGGTATTACCCTTCGTCAGGACTGGAGAAATGGTGCTCCTTTTTAATGTGGCAATTGAGTAGCAATTAATACAGCAAAAAGAGGTACCTCTAGGAACAGTCTACAACTGAGGTATTTCGGCTAGGAGGTTATGTTTGTAATGTTTGATCTTTAAGTAAAAGCTTAGAACTGTGCAAGGACAATGCTCCAGTTCAATCCTTCACTATGAGGCTACCTGAAGTGTGATATGACTGGGAGGATGAGCAGATTTGGATAAACTACTTGAAGGTGGCAGAGGAAGTGTAGAGGAGGAAGAGGGGAAAGGAGAAGGTTGGGAAGGAGGAGAGGGGAAAGAAAGGCTTTCAACTGGAGGTCTTATTCAGCAAGCAATTTTCCTACCTGAACCTCAGCAAGAAGTAATGAGAGAAACTTTTGTACTTAAGGATGTCCTCATTCAAATCCGTCAGATGCTACTGCCACAGATATAACCATAGTGCAAGTCATGGACAGCATCGTTAGTGGCTGTAAAAGTAATGAGCATTTGTGTGTCTAATTCTTTTCAGAATGAAGCTAGATTTGTTTGGAACATCCTGCAATTTTACGTCCATTCTTGTCTAGACAGAAGCAGTCAAAATGAGCACATGGTTTCAGTAGGGTTGCATGCTTGTCAATGGCGCAGGATGGAATGCACTTCAACAATCATTGTTATGTTCGAGCATAGACTGCTAGACTGATGGGACAGACTGTAATCCCCTTTACAAAGTAATAATCTACAGCCATGGTGACTTCTGTGAGTCTACGATTTTGTGGAGACAACAGTTTGTGCTTCTACTCCAGTATTCAGAATGTTGCTTGTATTGTAACAGAAGCCATGACATGGCCATCAAACATCATGTCATGGTAGGGTTATCAAGAATGTGAAAGAAGTTGGCCGTCACTTACACACTAGAAAGGATGGGTTCCAACTCTGTGCAAAACTTTGTACCTACATGGTGCTGGACTCCTCTGTGCTTCTCGACAGTGCCAGTTGACTTTCTGAAGTTTTTGTCCTTGCACCATACATTTTGTTGTATATATTGTTTGGCTTTCTTCTGTAGGCATCTCAAATGAACCACTCAGTGGAGCTTTCTGCTTTAGAATCTATGTGCAACATTGTCCTCTGAGTACTGCAGCTGTCCTGGTTGAATAATTGGCAATGTGTACAAGCTGTGGATTGAGGATATGCGGTCAGGTGTTAGGGTGTGGTGGAGCAAGTGAGCATTAGCTATGGCTTCTGATTGATAGAGATTGGTGGTAGATGAGTAATAGGGGTATAGTGAATGGAGCAGTGTGGAGTTAGTGGTGCAGTTGGTAGGATGAGAACCTTATGATGAGAACACTCAACTTCTTGTCACACTGCATCTAGGATGCATGGAGTTTGATGCCTGTCATTGATCACCATGGCTATCTGCTCTTGATCCTGTTTTGTTTGCGACTGGATCTTCTTGTGGTCTCAGCAAATATAAGACTTCTCTCTTATTTTCCACTTCGTCCACAACCTCCAGCAAACAGAAATCACAGAAATGAGCACTAAGTATGAAGTTTATCTGTGATGTAATGAATAAGTATAGATTGATTCAGATATCATGATCCACATGCCATTTATTCTGTTAAGCCTCCAAAGACTGAGCTCAGGGGGCAGAGCTGGAATGAAGGTAATAATGAGAGTATGGCTCAGGAGTGGGGCTAGTAAGGTTGAAAGAAGCTTGGCCTTTGTGCCTGATGGGAAATGTCAGGGAAGACTGATGAGGGACAGAGTTGTTTATGCAGTGAGGGACAACAGTGCAGAACGAAACAAACAGTTTTCAAAACAATTGGCAAGAAAGAAAGAACAGGTTACAACTTATTTTGAAATGAACTATTGTGGAAGAAAGAAGAACTAGGCTAGGCTAGTTGACAGTATAAATTTGAGAAAGCACGAAAATAAGGAGTTCGTGAGAAAATAAATGGAAGAAATGTTTAATACTAAGTTCAGACTGAAGTCAACTTATTGGCCTACCAAATAAGAAGAATATGTTAAAACAGTAAAATAGTGGGTAACCTGTGCTACAGATAAAACACTAATTGGAAGATTTAGAAGCTAGCATTACAGCATTACCTATTAAAACACCAGAAATAGTCGCCACTGTTAAGGACATTACTTGTTGTTTTTTATCAGGTGCAACAAGTACCAAATAACCCACTAGCCTGTTTGAATTGTGGTCACATAAAATTTACATAATAATTATTGATACATATTACAAAAGTCACACATACACACATATACACACACACATTTTTAGACCTGTTTATCGTACTTCAAAGTATGCAGAACCGAAAGGAAGCCGTTCATTTTCTGTTGTGCAAAGAAGCATCATCCACAGCAACAGAAAACATCTTCACTCGGCTTGCAGAAAGTCAAATATAGTATTAAAAAAGAATCAGTCTAACCTTAGGTTTCCTTAAGAGAATGTGTGACTATAACAGTTACACCTATTTACTTAAAGAGACAGGCCAAAGTGCACAGAACTGCAAAATAATATATTGTGCACATGTCTAGCATGCTTTCCCTTATAAAATAACACATTTTTTACCTATAACGTGTAACAATATTAGAGACTTGATGGAGTATTGATAAAGAATAAATTGAATTATGTTTATTTAATTCCCTACCTTTTTCTTCATTTTCACATTTTTAAATATGGCATGAACTCTCCATGTTTTTGCAAACATGGCTCCGAATGCTGTGGTGTAACCAACTGTAAGAATCCAGGTTCTAACCTGAATGACAAGAAGGAAAAAAACACTTGAATGAGAGTAAAGAATATCCTTCAATTGTCCCAAAAAGCAGAAAATATTTACTATCATAGAACATTATTTATGAAAAACTGAAGTAGTTCGCTCCATTAACATTCAGAAAATTTATGTTATTACATAGAATTATACATTTAGCCCAAAATCCTGCACCATTCCTCCTGTTATGTTTCCCTTCAAATCTTATCCTCTACAGGAGCTAACAACTATCCAATAGCATTGCTATTTTTCCTTCCACTTGTCTTTTTGAGTTTCAAATATGGTTTTGTCCTAAAGATCTGTTAAGAATTCTTAACAAATTGTGCTACTTACGAGACAGGCCAAAAAACATGGCCATGAAATTATATTATCGATTCTTATCATACAAAATTCCAAGCTCCGATATCTTAGCAGAGTCTTATTGAGGAAAAAAGACAATTAAATGTCTTCACTGACAGTGAGGAAAGAAATGGTTGCATGTTGGTACCTCCTAATGTGAGCTCAGAAGCATTATTTTCTCATTTAAATAAAAAGTCAGAGGTATTCAGCATATATCTGAGAAGTGTTTCATGAATCTTATGGAAAAAGGTACATTTTCTGCTCTGACCTTGACATACTCCTTCGGTAAAACACAATTGCTGAAACCAAATGTAATTCTCTGAGGTTGTTTTACAGCACTGTAGTCAATTTCCAAACAAAAACAGATCAGACAATGAGTAGAAAATCAAAAAAGACAAAATAAATTTGACCTCAGAATGAGATGGATAGACTGAAAAGAACTATTTAACAATTTAACATAAAAATAGACATTTCCATTAGCTGAATTCTGGAAATAGTCTGCACAAAAAGAGAAACATCAGGAAGAGACCTTCACAACAATCAGGACCTGTCATGGAACATGGGCAGAAATTGTATAATAAATAAAAGAGGCAACAGCTTGGTGACAGTGTTGTTGGGTGAGTAATCCAGAGCCCTAGGTTCAAATCCCACCACAGCAGATTGTGAAATTCAAATTAAAATAAAATCTGGAATTAAAAGTCTGATGAAGACCATGAAGAATACTGACATTACAAATTGTCATTTTAAAAAATGCCCTCTAGAGAAGGAAGTCTACAATCCTAACCTGATCTGGCCTAAATGTGACTCCAGACACTTAGCAATGTGGGAGGCTCTCAAATGCTCTCTAAATGGCCTGGCAAGCCAATCAGTTGTGTCTAACTGCTAAAAGCTCAAAAAATAGAATGAAACTGGATGGTATGGCTGGCATTGACCGAGACACTGGAAATGACAGTGGCAAATTTGATTCTGCTGATGACTACATCAGGCAGTTGGTTGACTCGTCTCCCAGTTTTAGCACACTCCCTCAGATGATCGTAAGAAATTATCTTTCTTGGTCTCAAAAGGCAACATTCAATCCAAAAGTGAGACACCTTGAATATGCCCGATTATTGTTCCAGGCAGAAGGATGCCGTCATTGGTACAAATATGTATAATTGGTAAGAACAAAAATACCTAAACTATTATGCCACTTTTTGCAACATAAATAGCCTCATACACGACTGCCTGATTTTGTCATACTCATGTTCCAGACAATACCATCACTGAGCTAGGTATGTACTGTTCCACTGGCGGGATGTGGCTAGCAGAACTGGCAGCACATTGGTATACAGTCAAAAGGGATTTGCCCTGGGAGTTCTCAACATTGATGAAAGACTCCATGAAGTCTGAGGGCATCAAGCCAAACATGGGCAAGAAAGCCTACTGCTGATTATCACGTACCACACCACCTTACCACTGCACCACATTCACCCCTGCCAAACTGGCTGATGGATCAGTTCTTTTCCATGTTGAACATTACTTGAAGGAAGACCTAATGGGTGTCAAAGATGCAGAATGTACTCTGGGTAGGTGACTTCAATGTCCATCACCAATATTGGCTTGGCAGCACCACCGCTACAGGCTGAGTTGGTCGGGTCCTAAGGATATTGCTGCAAGACTGGGTCTGTGGCATTTGGTGAAGGAAATATAACATACTTGACTACATCCTCACCTGTCTCCCTGCCATAGCTGCAACTTTCCATGGCACTATCACTAAGAATGGCCACTGTGTAATCCTTGTGGAGACAAAGTCCCATTTGCACATTGTGGTTTCCTACCATCATACTGTGTAGCACTACCTCCTAGGCTAAAGGTAATAGACTTTGAACAGATCTACCACATCCAGACCAGAATCCACCACAAAGGAAAAAAAAATCACTCCATCGCGGGCCAGTACGATACATGCGTGCTAGCTGCAAAGGGAGACTACTTCTCACAAATTGGTCTCAAAAGGCAACATTCAATCCAAAAGTGAGACACCATTAAGCCCCATTATTGTTCCAGGCAGAAGGATGCCGTCATTGGTATAAATATGTATAATTGGTAAGAACAAAAATACCTAAACTATTATGCCACTTTTTGCAACATAAATAGCCTCATACACGAACAGCAGTCAACTTGGAGAAGTATCTGATGACTGCTGATATCTATTTGAACCAAAGCCCAATATGAGTCACCACCTTCCAGAGAAGAGTTTAAGAGGAAAGAATGAGGGGCAAAAATGTGAAGATTGGTCTAATAAACACAAACATAAAAATGAAACGTAATCTTCAGGTTTTTAAAGATCTATATAGTACAGCAAACAGTGAATATGACAATAAAGTTCTAAAGGGTTGAAGTGTTTCAGACCTAGCCACTTTCTTGGTCGAGATACTCCAGTGAACTTAGAACATTAGCACCTACCCAATAATGTGGAAAATTGGCCAATAATTTCTAACTTCAAAGAAGGGGATCAAGTCATCCAGCCAATGTCCATGCCATCAATCTGCAGTCAATCATCAGCAACAAGATGAAAGGTGTTGTCAACAGTGTTATCAAGCATCACTTACACAGCAATAATCTGTTCACTGATGCTTAGTTTGGCTTCCACTAATGGCACTAAGTTCTGGAACTTATTATAGCCAACGATGGACAAAAGAGTTGACTCAAGAGAGGAGATGTGTGTAAATGTCCTTGACTTCAAGACAGCATTTGACCGAAAGTGGCATCAAGGAGTTCTGGGAAAATGAAAGTCACTGGGAATTTGAGGGAAATGTCTCCACTGATTAGAGTCATATAGCACAAAGGAAGATAGTCGTAATTATTAAAGATCAATCATCACATTCCCAGACCATTGCTGCAGGAGTTCCTCAGGAAAGTGTACTCAGGCCAGTCATCTTCATCAGTGACCTTTATTCCATTCATCCTGCCAGGGGAGGTAGTGGAAGCAGATACTATAGTGACTTTTAAAGGGCATCTTGACAAATACATGAATAGGATGGGAATAGAGGGATATGGCCCCAGAAGGATAGGGGGTTTTAGTTGTGATGGGCAGCATGTCGGAGCAGGCTTGGAGGGCCGAAGGACCTGCTCCTGTACTGTAATTTTCTTTGCTCTTTGTTCAAGTGAGGACATTTGCTGATTATTACACAACATTCAGTATCATTTACAACTCTTCAGATAAGCCATTAATGCCAACATGCAGTAATAATTTGGACAGCATTCAGACTTGGGCTGATTAGTAACAAGTAGCATGGGTGATGCACAAGTGCCAGGCAATGACCATCTTCAAACATCTTGAAGGGTTAACATTAACAAGAAACGTAACTGGGCCATTGAGGCATGAAGTCTGTTCATCTTCAATAAAGCACTAGTCAGGATTGTGATGGAATATTTTCCACTTGCTTGAATGTGTGCACTCAAGAGGATCAGCACCGTCCAGGACAAAGCAGCCTGGTTGATTGGCATGCAACGCACAAACCTGAACATTCAATCCCTCCACCACCAAAGTACAGAAGCAAAAATGTGTTCTATATATAAGACATACTGTCGCAACTCACCAAGGCCCCTCCTTCCACATCACCTTCCAAAGATGTGATCTCTAGCATACAAATGAGCAAGGGCAGCAGATATATGGAACTCTCCCATCTGTAAGTTCTCCTCCAAATCCCATGCCATCCTGACTTGGAATTATATCACTGCATGTTCACTGACTTGGATCTTACTTACCCACATGGGCCATGTTTTAGGCAGGGTCAGCTGTAGAAAAGGGCAGGTTTTCAGCAGAACCACTTCCCATCCACTCCTGAGCTAACCCCTATAATACAGAGGGTGGGCCAGCACTACGATTGGCAGCTCAATGGACTCCAGTATTACCCTGGTCATAACATAAGATGGTTAGCATGGGCATTTGGGCAAGAGTAGGCAGCCCTTTGCTTTTAATGTGTTCATATCGGTAGGAAGGAAGGGAACATTGTCTTTGGAGGGTGCCCTTAGCCCTTCGTGAGCATCTCCCCCAGAAGAGGGTACTTCCTTTCTAGTCAGTCATATTTTAAAACTAATACCCCAACACCTCCCACTGCACTCCTGCCGCCACTCCCACAACACCCCAATTCCTAAGAAGGGAAAACCCTCTTTTCCAATGCCCCTGAATTACCTAGATCCGGGATTCCATTGGACCTCCTTTGTGAGTCTGCCTGCCGTCCCAGCAGTATTCACCGCAGAGCTCTGGCACTGCCAGGATAGCAGGCATACAGGTCCAAAAGGTGGCACTGCCTGACACAGAGGCGTAGTAGTTGCAATCTACACAAATTTAGTCAGCCTACTGTGTTTTATGGCTTGGGGCAGGATTCCTCTTGTCTTGTCAACTCACCAGTGACTGATCTTACTTGGGTAGGAGTCTAGTCATGTCCACCCTCCTGTCTTTCTGCTCTGTAGGTCATTTAGCCTAACATTTATCATTGGGCAAATGTTAGAATCTATCATCAAAGAGGTAGTTGCAAAACATTTAGAAAACCATCATATAATAGAGTCAATATGATTTTATGAAGGGGAGATCATGTTTGGCAAATTTATTAAAGTTCTGCGAAAGTGCATGGATAGTGGGAATCAGTAAAAGTAGTGTTATTTGG